TGAAGATCTTCGGTAAGGGTACATGATTGTGTCCCGTAGCCTAATTCTCCCATCCTCAACCACCACAGTCCCCCTATCAAGGAAGGAGAGGCCTGGAAGTGGACTGGTCTCAGGCTCGGGAGGAGGCACTGTGTGAGCACTGTGTGCTTCTGACCTATGACATCCAGGCTGTGTGACATCATGTTCAGAAAGGACAGTGATAGCCATGTGCTCAGGAAGAAGTGGCCAAACAGGGAAGGATGCAAACCCTGCTAGGGAGCAGGAAGGCCCTAGACATCACACATGGGTCCATGTCTGCCTGAGAGTGCAGCTAACCCCTCAGAAATTTCAGTAGAGCACAAGCCAGACAAAGAGCGTAAACAGGCAGGCTCCCTGTTCTGTGGGTTGCTGGTGGCAGGATACTCCTTCTGCACCGGTGACCAGCCCCACCCCCTCCCGGCCAACTCCCACTCCACAGGGGCAGAATCTTCCAGAGCTGTTGCCTCTGCTTGATTTTGTGCAAAGCAAAGGTCTTTCTCCACGGGCTGCCATCACTTGCCCTTGCCAGCAGAGCCAATGAGATGGCTGCTCTGAGTAGTCTAATGACACAGTTGATCTATTTTAAGCACCTGAAGCGTACTCCACCAAGTGCCAATCTTCCTGCTGCGAGCCACTCTAAGCGTGCAGGAGCAGGGGCTGCCTGAGGTCTGCTCCTGCATTTAAGACCCGGGAAACCGCCTAGGAACCCTGGCCCTGCTGCCCAAAGGTAGACTAAGGCATCCACTGAATTCTGTTATTTTCACCGTCAGCATGGAGGCTTTGCCTCTGATGTTAGGATTACGTGGCACAGGCACCTCAGGTGACCACCAATCCCCCTTTCAAAGGGCACACACAGAGCTGGGAGTGTCACACACACAAGAAATCCTTAGAGGCAGCATTTATGGAACAATGAGAAGCCCATCCTCCATCAGAGATGCCTCCTCCTCCCCCTCCTCCCAATGAAGAGGCATTCTTTTCTAACTATAGCCTGAGTGTTTTCTGCCTATTACTTTATTGAATCCCTGCGCCACTCCCCTCGGTTCTGTATCTAAGAAAGGCCCCACGTTATGATGTGTTCTCACCATTCTTCACAGACAGACCTAGCACAATCCATAACAATTAGGTTCATTCGATCATTGACTTCCTTTCTATCTCTTGTCCCCTTTGAAAACTCCCATGATGGCTGAGTGACAGACCCTGCCTGCTTTGTTCTGCTTAATCCTGTGCTCCTGATTCAATCTTAGATGAGTGCTGCTTTGTGCCGGAATATGTAGAACACAAGTTCATGAGCCCTCACAAAAATCCTGTGTGGTAGACACCATACATTAGACTTAATTCACAGAAAAAGAAACTGGCTCAGACAAGAAACAGCTGGTTCCAAATCTCGGATTTGAAACAGGCGACAGAGACTTGAGTAAATATATGAAAAGATAAATTTAGTACCCTTATTTTGCACAAAAAGCAACTGAATTTCACAAGTAAATCACCTGGACAAGGTTCCACAGGCTGGAAAGCAGCTATGCAGGCGTCACTCCATGTCCATCTGGCTGAGGCCACCTTTTCTGCCCCCCTGTCCCTCCTTTGCACCATCTTTCCCTGTGTTCTGCAGTGGAAACCCAGGGAACACAGGGATTGGATGTTAGTCTTGCAGTTGGATATCCCAGTCCTATTTGCTCATCCACTCAGACAACAAACAAATCCCCAATCTATATAGCAATGATGCTCCAGGCAGCTGAGCTACCCAGGACAGAGGTCCCCACCAAAGATCATTCCCGTCTGGCGTCTCTGAGACACAGGCTCAGGAGACAGTGCTATGAGGGAAGCCTTCAGGTGTGGAGAGACAAGAGGTATGATGGAGACAAGCCAAAGTCCTTTGAAATGCACTGTCCAATCTAGACCCCAAGGAGATGAGCAAATTTGTGTAAGGTTCAGGAGAAGGGACAGCGTGACTTATTTAGTTATTCCAATTGGCACAACCCCTTATTGTACACTTCCTGCATCTTGGGCCTTTGGCTGGAAGCTTCTATGTGTAACAACACATAGGGCATGAGCATTTAGGGGAGGGTGAAGGACATCAGCTGTGTGTGAGTGCTGTAGGAAACGTGAGTTGGTGAGGGTCGGGTCGTTGAGAGTTTCAGGTGCCAGCTAAGGAGTGTGTGTTACAGGCTACAGTCAATGAGGAGACAGGAGAGGTTTCGAGCTGAGTGGTGACCTGACAGGGGCTGTGCATTATTCAGGAAGAACTCATGGCAACACCTAACTGATAACACTGCAGAGCCCAGCGGGTGGTGGCATGCAATGTTACAAGCAACTTAGGAGAGAGAGAGCATGGAACAGCGGAGTGGTCATGGCACTCTTGCTCACCATACTCTTCATCACTGCTCTTGTCCCCTCCAGTGGATCTGATATCTGATTCTGCTTTCTGACACTGTGCAAACTGAAAGCTTTAAAAACTAGGTCACTGACCCAATCGAGAAACCTAGCAAGTGTTTGAGCTACATGGTCAGACAGGTAGCTTGGGTTCAGATTCCAGCGGTACTCTGCTGGCTGGCGACGTCACCTGCAGTGACTCATTTTATCTCTCCCTGCCCACACTTCAGTTTTCCCTCTATAGACAGGAATAAGAGGGGAGTGAAAGAATGGGTTGAAATGCTTCCCACAGTGCCCAGCACATGGAAAACACTCAAAAAGTTGGATGGTGAGAAAGCCGTGACATAGAGGTGAATGTGTTGGGAAAAGTCCCTTTAAATATGTGAAACACTCATCACACTGGACAATTGTGACACTGCCATGTCTTCATTCTCTTGGGAAACGGGATCAGAGCATGTATTGATAACACAGCACTTAACTGTTAGCTAGTAACTAAGGACTTTGTTACATGTTAGACCCCCATTCTGAACATTCTCCATGAACAGTTTTTTCTTCTTCTTTTTTTAATTGTAGCCATGAGCCAGAGACCACATTGATTCTTTTTCTTTTGTTCTCCAAGACAGGGTTTCTCTATGTAGTCCTGGCTGTCCTGGAACTCACGGTAGACCTGGCTGGCCTTGAACTCAGACATCTGCTTGCCTCTGCCTCTGCCTCTGCCTCTGCCTCCTGAGTGCTGGGGTTAAAGGCGTGTGCCACCACCACCTACTGTCACATTGATTTTTTTAAGGTGCATTTTTCACTTCATTAAGGTTACTAGGTTGAGATGATATAGGGACACCAGTGGCCATTTTTATCTAACAAAAATGGAAAAAAATAAAATCACAGCTGTGACTATATAGAAAAATCTATGAGTCCATCCATACCTGAAGCCAAAGCTACTTCCCACCCCAGACTTTCCTGTAGTAAGAACCAGCAAATTCTATTTTTGCTTCAACTACTTTCAGCTGGGTTTCTGTAGTCCACACCTGAGCAGATTCCAGACAAGGAAAGAGCAGTTATAAGCCATGTGTTTCACTCTTATACCTAACTATTCACAGTCCTAGCCATCCCTAGGATAAAGACTCTTCCAGTCTGATACATTTCATCACCTTCTGGAGTGACTATATGCCTTCCGCTAAAGTCTATTTCTTTTGAATATTTTGAGTCAAACGTTTTTCTGGCTACAGCTCATTTTCTGTAGGTCAGGGTCGTTTGCATTCCTGACACCTGCTCCCAATCTGCAGTCCCAGACCAGGGAAGGATCAGGGTATAGCTTCCAGAGCTTGAGAGAATGCCTGTGCGTACTGAACTTCAGATGTGTGGCATCTGTCAGTGCATGTGCTGGGGGAAGTTCAACTTGACAGAAAGCTACCAGCAGGTACAACGTAGGTAAGTACTAATACAGAGAGGTCCAGAAATGGTTTCAACATTAAAGGGGAGTCCTCAGGTAACCTGAATGTGGCCTCATAGATGTGTGTGATTGGAGATTTGAAACATGTGTGCCGGACATCTACAATAAAAAGTCGAAAAAAATGGGTATGAATGGTGGCACATACCTTTAATCTAAGCTTTTGGAGGAAGAGGCAGGTGGATCTATATAAATTGGAGGCCAACCTGGTCTACATAGTAAGTTCTATGACAGCCAGAGTTACATATAAGACTTTGTGTCTTAGTCTCTGTTCTATTGCTGCAAAGAGACACCATGACCAATGCAACTATTACAAAGGGAAGCATGTAACTGGGGCTGGCTTACAGTTTCAGAGGCTTAGTCCATTATCGTCATGGCAGGGAGCAGCAGCACACGGGGAAGTGTTGGAGCAGTAGCTGAGAGCTACATCCTGATGCGTAGGCAGAGAGAGAAAGATGTGGGATCCATATGGGCTTCTGAAACCTCAAAGTCCACTCCCAATGACACACTTCCTCCAAAAAGGCCACAACTCCTAATCCCATCAAAAAGTTCCACTCCCTGGTGACTAAACTTTCAACTTTAGGAGCCTATGGGAGCCGGCGTTCTTATTCAAACCACCACACCCTATCTCAAAATAAGTGTAAAAATAAAATTAAAGGATGTGAAAGACATAATGAATAAATAAAAAGAAAGTAAAAAATGAATGAAATTAAAGGAGTACTTACAGCTGACAGATTGATCCATCCCTGCTATTACATGACCTCTGTTAGTCAATATGTAAGAATTGATTCAAAATATATCACAACCCTAAAGAAGATAAAAGCTAAAATCATAAGACTTCTAAAAAAATAGGTTAAGTATCTTATGACTCTGAAATAGGCAATGACTACCTTGACCACTAAAATCAGAAAAAACAGGTAATACCCCAACCAACACATCCCAAAAGAATAAAGATAATTGGCCAACAGACCCTAAAGAGGGACTCAACATCATTAGTTTTCTGGTGAAATACAGTTCAAAATGTCTGTGTACACCCACCCAGGTGGCTGTCATTTCTCAAACGTTACTGGTGGAAATGCAGATGACAGTAACTTTAGAAAACTGCATGAAAGTGTCATCAAAATTCAGAACACACCTACCTATGATACAGCAACACCGTTCTTACCTGTGGGCTCACAGAAGATGAAAACATAGATCTGCAGGAAGATTTATGCAAGAATGTTCCTGGCATCTCCATTCACAATAGCCCAGAGCTAAGAACAACCCAAATGTTTGTCTGCACACAGCTAGATAAGCAGATTGGGATCCATTTATACATTGGATTATCGCTTGCTAAGAAAAAGTCACAACCTGGTGATACAAGCCACAACATGAATTAGTGGTAGAAGCTGGTGAATACGGAAGTCAGATATAAAAGTATAAACTGCCTGATTCCCTTTATATGAAGTTCAAGAGCAGACAAAATGAATTGTGGTAGGCAGAAATCAGAACAGGGGACAGGCAAGATTAATCAACACAGGCAGAAATCACAACAAGGAACAGGCAGAATTAATCAACACAGGCAGAAATCAAAACAGAGATGTCACAATCAGTAAAATGCTTGCCACGCAAGCCGGAAGAAGACTCCCTCTCATCTTTGTAGTCTAGCTGGAGTACTCCCTTCCCCCATTCTTCATTTCTTACACTCCACTCACCCCATTTTGTAAGTATCTGCTTAATTACTTACCATAGATCTTTCCCACGTAATTATCAACTCCCAATGCCCAGGAAACACAACCGTTTCCCCAGTCCCCAGCACATAGATGTTACCCAGTAAATATTGATAAATAATGACTTTTGCCAGTGTGCGTGAGCTTCAGTGTGTGGACTGTGTGACCTCATTGCATTCAGAACTTCCTGCTTGGGGCCAGGCCCTCACTGAGGTTTGGTGGGTGCCAAAAAAAGGGACACCAGAATAAATGTCACTTGAGAAAAGCTTTTTTGTGTGTGTCTGTCAAGGGACTCCAAGAAATCTTTAGGACACCATGACCTCTGGGAGACTGAGACACTTTCCACCTATGACTGTGCTATATGGTTCCTCTGCTGGCCTGTGGCTCGGGAGTCCTACATGTGTCCACAGGTGAAGAATCTAAAGCACAAACAGACTGATAATGTATGACCCGAGAATTGTCTCCATCTCCAGTCCCTTCTCATCCCACACCTGGCAATGGGCCAGGAGTAAGTGGCAGGAGTCCATGTCCATATTCACGTTTTTATCCAGGACCTTTAAGTCCCCTGGCCAATCATGGGGCTCTCACCACCCTAATCTTGTCAATCTCCGTATCTATTCAGCAGACCACCTTTTTTCTTGTGTTGTCTGGGTCTGATGCCACCGCCTTCCCTGAGGCCATTTCTCCCCTTGACTGAATCGAGGTCCGGAGATGACCTTCATACCCAGAGCACCTGGCCATCGCCCACAGCTAACCTGCCCAGGATGCCCTCAGATGCCTTCATTACTGCAACTAGAATGAGTGTCCTGACGTCATCACTCTGTGGAAAATACTCCTTAGCTGGTAGCATAGTCCACAGCCGGGTGTAAACATAAACGATGCTTTGGAGATCCTCCAAGGGCTTTGCGCTACAGGAGCAGCTCACCCTCCTCAAACCGCTTGCCCCTTAGCCACAAGTCCACTTGTCTTCATGACTGTCTCCCTTGGAATGCATGTTCTTCCCACACTTACTGCCAATAGCCCTCTATGTGAGAGCGACTTGGGGCTTCCGCTACTGATCTGAGATTCTGTCCTATGGCAATGAGTTCGGGGCTCTAGCCTACATGTTAATTATTGTATCTGAGTTCCTGGACAGGATGGCTCTTTGGCTGGAAGGGAGGTGCTGTGGTAGGGCTTTGTTTTGGCTATTAATCTAGCTAGGAGAAGCTGAGCAAATGAGCATATTTGTGTGCTTTAATATTTCCCCTTTCCTTGTCTGAACAACCCGCTTAGCTGGAGTTTGAGAAGCAAATGGCAAGGAATTCCTTGGGCTTTCTTGACCTCAATATTGCCAATAATCAGCTTTGCTACCAATGGTGCTAGGAAAATTCTCCAGTATTTTACAGGGCAGGATGGCAGGAAGGGGTCTAGCTAAATGTATGTTTTATGTAGCAATGTAGCTGGCTAAATGTATGTATGAGTTCTGGACTGGCTGCAGGTAGATGGCTTCAGTATCCTGCACCTCAGACTGCTCAGCCAGAGACAATCCCATAGCACAAAACAGCCTTGTGCTGACGTCCATCTGCTGGATATTATGCAGTTCTTCCCTTGGCTGCTTGAGAGAAAGAGAATCCAGCAAAGATCTGAGTTGATTTTTTTTATTAGTTCTGGTTATTGGTTGTGTTTCTCTGACCCATTAAGGTCTAGAACAACTCTACCCACAAGCTGAGCACAAAGCAAACCCGATTTTAATTGGGTTACAGGTGAAGGAGCCAAGGAGGAAAGTGTCAGTTCACTGTGGGTCTAATGTAATTACATACCTCTGTCCTCATTTCAAGTATTTTATAGTATCGCTGGGCTGTGCCACTGCTCACACATCCCAGTGTCTCTCCAGAAAGCACAGTGTCTTCACTAAATGATAATAAAAGGGTCTCAGGGTGGCTTCCATAGGGTGGAGGCTTAGCTGATTCCCTTTGTGCCTGGAGGGACAGTGAGCAAGCCAAACCAAAAAGAAAGAGCCCTTTCATCATGTCTGTCCGAGCAGGTGACTTGTCTTGGCTGACGAGCTCAGAATGTCACCCTTCAGCTCCTTTTACAGCTCCCAGGTGAATGATGCTGTCACCAGGAAGAACATACGGAGACCCTCTCGGGAGGACTCACCTTTTAGTTTTACCTTCCCTCTTGCTTGTGCTCTTGGCTCTTAGCAGCTGTTCCTGAGTCCACTGATGATGGCTCACCTGTCCACTGATGGCTCACCTGTCACGGGCAGTTGAGTGAGTGGCTTAGGTATGACTTCTCCCTGCAGAAAGCTGTCAGCCTCTCTGTGTTCTCCTAAATGTGGGGCCAGGTAACCCCGAGAAGCACCTCGGATGCACCTCTTTGGGAGTGAGGATCTGCCAGCGTGCAGAGGAAGCCAGATGCAATGGGAAGAAAGAAGCAAGTCCAGGGTGGGCACCGAATGAAACGAGATGAGATGAAGATGGGTGGGGTCGACATGGACTTTAGGCTATGGCAAGCTGTCTAGCTGTGTCTCAGGATAGAATGAAGCCACTGGGTGGTGGTAGTCAATACCCCTGGGTGGGAGTCGGAGGTGAGTATCATTGGATTTGGATTTTGAAAACATCAGTTTGACTGCTGTACAGAGAATGAGTTGGGAAAGGCCAGTTAGGACTTGGGATTCCCCAGGCTGGGGTTGGGGCTAAGAGTAAATGGGTTAAGTGCCTCCTAATCCAGGGCCCTGGAATGGCTTGGTTCCCTGGCAGCTAACTTTTAAGATTTTACTTATTTTTATTCTGTGCGTATGAGTGTTTTGCCTGGTGTGTGTGTGTGTGTGTGTGTGTGTGTGCGCGCGCACCTGTTGCTCAGAGAAGTCAGAAGAGAGCATCAGATTCCCTAAAAATGCAGTTACAGATGGTTGGGAGCTCCCTGAGCTGTGGTACGGGCAACTAAACCTACCAACCTCTGCAACAACCCTCTCTCCAGCCCGCCTAGTAGCTTTTGTACCATCCACGCCACTATTTAATGATTTGGACTCTATTAAATAGTACATATTGCACTACTGTATACCAGACGGCACAGACGACTGAAGGCTATTTCCTCACAAATGTGGGCACAGAAGTCCTAGAGCAGATTCAAACAAGGGTGGCCGCTGCTGAGGCCTTCTGTGTGACTTTCAGGTGACGACTCTCACACATGCATTCCCAGCCCTTTGTGAAGCCTGCGTCCATCTCTCATAAAGGCATTGGTCATGTTGGATTAGAGCCTACCTCATGACTTCATTTTAACTTAACCTTCTCCTCCTTAGAGCTCTGAGATGCTAATGGTTAGGGATTCAGTCTATGAATGGGAGGGTCATGATTCAGCCCATCGGCAGTCCCTCCTGATGGAGATAAGCTTAGTGTTTCCATTCTCCACCTGCCCCCCAACCCTGCAACCGCACTACGCGCAGTGTAGGCCATTTAACACTTTGATGGATTTCATTTGGGTTTTGGTCTTCCACCCGAATGGTGGTGTGATTGTTATTATAACCACAGGGATTTCCTGTGCTGGTTACTTCTTGGGAACAAATCTGTTGCATTTTACTTTCTTTGTGGCCTCAAGGAACACCTGCTATAGGAAACAGCTGTCGAGTTCATCCCGTGGGGTGGGGGGGCCTTTACCTCCTCATCTCCTCTGTGGGTGTTTCCAGATGTTTGCTGTGTGTCCACAAGAACACTCCAGGTTTACACACGTTCCCTCCTCAAATGACTTACAGTCAGGTGGCAAGATGAAAAAGCATACAAGTCATGGTAGTGCGTGTGAGCTGTGCTGCAGGCCAGAGGTTTTCAAAGTGTGATCTTCGGGGTCTTGGCATTAGCATCATGTAGGCATTGACTAGAGGAAGGAAGGTTCTCAGCTCTCATCCCAGAGCAGTTGAACCAGAAACCACAGGGTGGAGCCTAACAATCTGAGCTTTGACAAGACATCCAGGAACTGAGATGCCTGCTCAAGTTTGATGGCACAGCTTAGCCCTAAGAGACTCATGCCATGAGATTTCAAAGAAAAATAGCTCATATGTGGAGTGGGGGATGAAAGGAAAACCAGAGACTATTTCTAGAAATGTGGTGCATATGAGAAAGGCCTCGAAGAGTGGGTAGGATTTTTATATTTATATGTAGAAGATCATATTTACTACAGTTGCCATCTGCATGTTTATGTATTTCTTTGTACAAAAGTAATTAGCAGCCTGGACTCTAACTGGGAAGATCTGCTAGCTGTCCCTCCCTTGCATTTTAACTGGCTCACTATGAATTGAGGCTTCCCCCAACATATGCTCAGCTATAGAACTGGCAGTTGCAGTTGGGGGGCCCTTTACTGGAGGCTTGCCAAGTTCCAAACACAGCTTGAACGTGAGGTAGGGGTTCTAGCCCTAAGTCTGAGACAGAGTAGTCCAAAGCACCTTTGAATCTCACAATGGGAAGGAATTGCCCATGCTATCTAGTCATTTAACCCAGCTGGCCTTGAAGGATGTGGGGCACCAGGACACAGTGGACACACACCTATTTTGCTAGATCATTGAACAACTCTGTAGAACAGCTGACAAACTCTGACCTGAGTACCAGTTCTGATCTACGTTCTGTTTCCACAGTCACTGTTTGCCTGGAAGACAGCCATGCCTGCCCACTGATATGTTGGGTCATGGCTGTTTTGCCCTATGACAGTGCAAGTTCTTAATTCTTTCTAAGAGACCAAAAACCCAGTTCAGACTACTACAAGTGTTCATTGGTTTGTACATCTTTAAAGTCCAGGGAAGGATTGTGTGGAAAGGCCTGAGATCCTCCGTGGGACATCTCTGGGTCATTCTGCTTCCC